CGCTACTGCACCCGGCGACGCCCAAGTCGCACGGCAGCGCGGCCGCGCCCACGCTCGACATGTACAACCCGACGCTCAACCATCTCCAAACGAGTGCTGTCACCCACATTGTCGCCCGCTCGAGCGGTGCCGCGCCCTACATCATCTTTGGCCCGCCCGGCACGGGCAAGACGGTCACGGTCATCGAGACGATCTTGCAACTGCTGGCGACGTCGCGTGACGCGCGGGTGCTGGCCGTGGCGCCCTCGGACGCCGCCGCGGACGTTCTCGCCACGCGGCTGCGCCTGCACTTGGGCGCGACGGACCTCTTCCGGCTCAACTGGCATTTCCGCAGCGTACGCCACTGGTCGACTAAACCGGTTGCAGACACATTTGTAGATGGCGTCGGTGCCGGCCGAGCTTCTCGGCGTCTGCTGCACGACGGGCGGCGACATTTTCTCGCTGCCGCCGCTCGAGGTGCTCGCAGCGTTCCGCGTCGTTGTGACGACGACGTGTGCCTCGGGCGCTCTCTCGATCGCGGGGCTCGCGCCAGGCCACTTTGGCGACATCATCATTGACGAAGCGTGCCAGGCCACGGAAGCCGAGGTGCGGCATCTATCGATCGCGAAAGATAGCTCATCGGCGGCGTAGACGCTGGTGCCGCTGCTCTTGTACACGCCTGGTGTCCACCTCACACTTGTTGGCGACCCGCGGCAGCTGGGGCCGCAGCCGCGGTCGCCGGCGGCCATTTCCAGTGGCTTTGCCACGTCCTGGCTCGTACGTTGCCGTCATTGTGTGCGTGGACGAGACGACGTTGGTAGGAGCGGCTCGTGAACGACCCGACCAACGTCTACAACTGGAACGCGCAGAGAGGCAAGTTCATTACGATGCTGCAGCACAACTATCGATCCCACCCGGCGCTCCTCGAGCTTCCGTCGCGCCTCTTTTACCGCGGCGCGCTGCTCGCCTCGGGCAACATTGCGAAAACCCATGCGCTCACCAAGTATGTACTTTAACAGAGCGCGATGGCGCGGTAACGCTATGGCGTACTAGGTGGGAAGGGCTCGACGGACGCGGTCACTTTCCGATGGTGTGGCACTCGGTGCATGGGACGCAGCACAAGGAGCTCGACGCGCACTCGTACACCAACCTGGCCGAAGCCTTCAAGGTGCGAATGCTCGTCGTTGGAAGGCTGAGATGGTGATGAGTACTATACTAGATTGTCCAACTCGTCGAAGCGCTGGTCACGTCGACGGCGGTGGTCGTGACGACGGCCGACATTGCAGTCGTGACGCCGTTTCGCCGCCAAGTCGTCAAGATCCGCCACATGCTCCGCAACCGCGGCTACGGCAGCGTGAACGTCGGCACGGTGTACAACCTCCAGGGCCAAGAGGCCAAGATCGTGCTCGTGTCTCTCGTGCGCACGCCGAGTCGTCGGAATGCGACTAAGATCTCGATCCTGAGCGACGCCAAGCTCTTCAACGTGGCGGTGACGCGCGCCAAGGCGCTGCTGCTCGTCGTTGGCCACCCGGGTCTCCTCGCGAAACAGCCCTTCTGGGGCGAGCTGCTCAACCATTGCGTCAAGATGGGCGGGTTCCGCGCCTCGCCTGTCGGCGACGAAGTCGACCATCGCGAAGACGACGACAATGCCGCCGCTGTCGAGCACTATGACGACGGCAAAGCGTGCAACGCGGCGGCCGATGGCCCCGACTGGCGCGTCTTTCTCTAGTTTGGGGACCGAAGTGTCATTTCACGCGTTTTTCTCGCTTTTTTCGTAACAAAGTGGACATTTTCGGACCCTTTTAGCGCCCGTGGTAACGATCGTGCGAGGGCGGACTGGGGAAATCCCTCCGAAAGACCAAGTTCCTCAGTCAGCAAGTAGCTGCTGCTGGCTAGCATGCCGCTCACCCCATACACAGCGGCAGCTATTAGCTAGCCCAGACGGTTACGACGACTAGAAGCAGCGCGGTAAGCTACAGAGTCGTCTTCGTTTGCCTCCCTGCTTACGGTACTGTAGCTTGTGCAGTCCTTGTACATACTACTAAGGTGACGGACGTTCGAGGTGCCACGTCGCTTGAGAAATGCAACAGCCGGACCCAATCCGATCTTAGATCGATTACGATTGGTTGGTCGAAATCGAACGCACCAATCAAACACGCTCCTGCATATCTTTTGGGCACCATACCCACAGCGTTCGTCAAAGGAGTGGGGAGACACACGGGAGATGCGTGAGTGCACATTTGTAGCAGGAGATTAATATCATGACGCAAGAGTTGCCCGTCCGCAATCAGTGGCGCTTGACGCATCGTCAGCTTCATTTTCCAATACTCACAACGGCACGATGAAGCTCGCTGCTTTGACACTGGTCGCGTCTGTGACGGCCATCGACTACCTCGGCGGCTTTGTCGAGCCCGCGCATAAGCAGTGCGTCGACATTTGCAAGAACTCGAACCCGAAGCCCGGGTGTTTTAACCCCGCGGACGACTGCCACACCAAGCTCCAGCGACCGGGCGACTACGACTACATGGTTTTCGACCAGATCTACGCGCCGCAGTTCTGTCGCGACCTCGACAACGGCGTCGACTCGATGATCACGCACCAGAACGTCGCCAAGGGCGGTCTCGCGTGCGCCAAGCCCGTCAACTCGGAGCTCTTCATCCACGGTCTTTGGCCCAACTACAACGCCGGCTACCCCGGGTGCTGCAACGTCACCGACGCGATTCCGAACCAGCCATTCGACGCGGCCACGTTTGCGACCAAGTTTCCGACTCTGTTCAAGAACATGACCGAGCAGTGGATCGATCCCGCGGTCGGCGACGCCACGGAGCGTCTCTGCCAGGGCTACAACCACGAGTTCCAGAAGCACGGCATCTGCTTTGGCGCGTTCGGCGCCGACTACGACCGCGCGGCGGCCCAGTACTTTCGCGCGGTCTTGGACGTCAACGTGCGTCTCACGGACGCGACGCAGCAGGTGGCGTCCTGGGCAGCGTCGATGGCCGCCAACGTGACGCTCAGCGACGTCCAGAAGCTCTACCCCAAGAAGATCAACATTCTCTGCTCGACCGTCAGCGGCGAGTTGGCCAACCGCATCGTGGCCGTCCGCACGTGCTGGTCCAAGGCCGTGCCCAAGGACAGCTGTGGAGATGCCGAACTCATTGCTGGTGCGCCGCAGGACTGCGCCGGCGCGCTCTCCACCACGTGCAACGCAGCGTTGCCGCTCGATTTTTCGGCCTACTCGGTCTACTAATGCGCCAAGTGGTATACATTGTCGTAACAAATGCAGCGTGTTGCAACATATGCAGTGTCTCCTGCAGGCTGTTGGCCGGTCGCATCAGAGGAGGGGCACGACGGGGTGGCATTAGCAGGGCGTCGAGGACGTCGAGCCGTAGTACGGTGCGTTGTACTGAGAGAGTGCTTGCGTCGCCCGTCTAAGGCGTCATGCAGCAACAAGGGATCGAGCGCAGTCACCTACCGCACGTAAACGCGCACCAGCAAAAGAATGACGGCGAGCGACACGAGCACGCAGAGACCCAGCGTGGCCTGGACGTGCACATCTCGACCGCGATTCGTGCAAAACGGGTGCCTACCATGGCTTGGATGGCGGAAATGGCTGCAAACTCATCGCTGTTGGCAACGACCAACGTCTTTTCTCCCGCGGATTTGATCTCGAGCCTACGCACAACAGCTCTCACAGCCGACCGAGCAGCGCGACGTACCACACGAATGCCCACGCACCGACGGACGCAAACACCAAGTCGCCCTGCCACAGCAGAGCGACCACGTTGGCCATGAGCAGCGCGCTGAAGCAGCTGATGTAAATGTACATATCGAGCGGGACACCGACGGTCGCCAGCGCCACCGTGAGGCTCGCCATTGTCGTCGCGCCGAGCCAGCTACAAGAGTATGAGCTTGATACATTGCCGCATCGCTGTGCACCTGGCGTAGAGCGTGAAGGGCACGCGCATCCAGAGATAGTCGGAGACGCGGCGGCACGGATACCCGACGTCCTTGTGAATCGACAAGGTAGCGAACAAATGGGGCGGCTCGACGTTCTCAAGCACGAGCACGTAGGCGGCAAACATACTCAGCCAGAGCGCCGACATGGCCCCAAACGCGACGACCATCCAGTCGGCGCTCGCCGCTTCAAAACAAATGGTTTGAAGCACGAGCCCGAGACTGGTGAGCCCATACAGAATCTCGAGCTGCGGAAAGGGCAAGTCCGCACACGGCGCGATGCACTCGCGCCCGATAAAGCCAAAGAGGAAGAAGACGACGACCCAGAAGAGCTGGTCGGCTTCGCGGGGAAGGACCATGACGGTGGGGTGGCGCAGGCGGACGTCGTCGAGCGCAAGGGCGTTTGCAGCGTTGCGCCAAAGACAAATGGTAAACGAAATCGCCATCGTAAGACGCAGGAGCAGCATGCGCCGCGCGTGCAGGCCCCCTAGCTGCGTCATCCGACCGTTTGGTTCCAAGATACAGGTCCCCGTCTTTTATGTTGTGGTTTGTATGCGCATACAAAAAACAAACCAAACGATCTTGGCGCCACGTCGATATGCGAGTTTGTTCGAAACGAAGCTTATACACCAAAGTGGCGCTGCGAAGGCTCATTGTTCGAGAAGCCACGGCCAAGAATGAAGTTGCCGTGGATCCTTAGCGCGCTCTTGGCGGTGGCAGCGGTACTGCTTCCCTGGTCGCCGGCGGCTGACGCTGCTGCGTGTAGGCCTCGTCGTGCCCCGTCGGCAACGTGTACGACGCGACGGCAGAGCAGTGCGTGCCCTGTGCGTTTGGCTCGTGGGCCGACGGCGACATGAGCCAGTGCCAAGTGCGTCCAATGCGTGAAGCGACGCAATATTGTACTCACGCCACAGTAGTACCCTGTGACGTGCCTCGCCGGCCTCGAGCCCAACGCGCACGCACGCAACGCGTCCGACTGCCTGCCCTGCGTGGCCGGTTGGTACAACGCTGGTGCGATATCGCGTGTAAAGTTCGTGGTCTCACCCGGCATTGCGTAGCCAACGACGTCTCGCTGTGCAAGCGCATGGCATGTGCCCCGGGTACCGCGAGCACGGTCGTCGGCGCTGAAGACGCGACTGCTTCCTGTATCTCCACTGGATAAACTACGTAGAGCTAGAATGTGCTTGTAGGCAAGGCGTGTCCTGCGATGACGTACTCGACGGGCGCGGACGCCGCCTGCGTGGCATGCCCGCCTTTTCACTATGCACCAGCCCAAAGCAGCCACTGCGATCTCGTGCAGTGTGCACCGGGGTACGCTCTGTGATTGCTGTTCCCAGGTCATTCAAGCAACCGCGTGTAGATCGCGCCCGGCGCTCAATTTGACGTCGTCCAGCGACTGCGTTCCTTGCTCGTCGGGAACGTACAGCTTTGGGGATCTCGACACGGGTACGCATGAGCTATGTTTTATGGAACTAACCTCTCATGGCGTAGAGTGCCACCCCGTCCAGTGCCTTGGGGGCACCGAGCCCCGCGCAAGTACGTCGTCCCGTCAACGTTGCCCTGTGCTGACTGTCGAGGCGTAGATGCCAAAAATGCCACCGATTGCTTGCCTTGCAAGCTCGGGTGGTTCTCGCCCGGAGGTCCGTCCCAACGCGAACGAGCATGATACTCAGTCCATGTAGGCGACGCCATGTGCGCACCAGCGGCATGCCCAGGCGGAACGATTGCGAAGCACGGCGCCACCACGGCCTCCGAACACTGCGTAGCCTGCCCTCCTGGGTGCGTGCGATCGATAGAGCAATGTACTGAGGCTGTACTAGGCACGTGTCGCCTGGTAAAGACGCGGCCAAGTGCACACCGTGTCGCGCAGGCACCTATGCCAAGAGTGAAACCTGTGCCCTCGCCGAGTGTCCTCCTGGGAGCTACGCCCCCGACTTGGCCAAGGACGTAGCCCGTACGGATTGGCTTTGTCACACGCGACGGAGTCACACAATGCGTAGATTGCTTGGACTGCGCGTTTGGCACGTTCTCGAACGGGAAAACGGACGCCTGCCACCCGTTCACTTGCCCCGGCGGTACCCGCGTCGTCTAGATATCAAGGGCAAAGAGACATCGTGCCGTAGGCAACGAGCCGAACGCCAAAGCGAGCTACGACGGCGACTGCGTTGGTTGCCGCCTCGGTATGGCACGGCGCGTTGCGTGCCAACAACTTTGATCGTGGCCTAGGGTTCTTCTCTGCACCCAACACGTCCATTTCGTGCGAGCCGGCGGAGTGCCCGAAGAGCACCCAAGCCTCGTGCGACTTGCGGCTGAGCTCTACACGTGAATAACACGCAACCGTAGGCCCAACGCGACCTCAGCGGACGACTGCAGTCCGTGCCCCGCATTGCAAACGTCCATCGGCGGCTCGGCGCTCTGCGGGGCGCCCAACTGCACCGCAGGCTCTGGGCCAACGCAGGATGGTCAGTCGTGTGAAGTATGCGAGGCTGGCACGTTCAGTCCAGGCCACGGTACGAACGAACGAGTATATGGTACTCATATTGCGAAGGTGCGCCTTGCCGCAAGGTGAAGTGTGCCCCGGGTCACACACCCGCCAAGGTAAACGTCTCAAGAAGACTGGCACGGCTCACCACCAACACGCAGGGCGCGACCGACATGGCGACCGACTGTATTCCGTGTCCTGAAGGCACCACGAATTTGGGTGCGAATGTCCCCGTCGGTATCGAGCAACTCAGTAGAGCTAGGGGGGACCACAACGGAGTGCACGCCGTGCCCGCAAGGAACGTACTCCAACGCTACAGCGGGTACATTGTGTCGGTCGTTTCCAGTGATAACGACGGTCGGCGGCGTAGGAACAAACACGTGCACACCTACAGCGTGCGAGCTCGGATGGGAGGCCAAAGTACACTCCTGCACGTTTCAATCTACGCGTACGATGCGTGCTTTTAGACTGGCGCCAAGCACAAGCGCGACTGCGTCATCTGTGGCCAAGGCTTCTTCAGCAACACGCAAACTTGCCAGCCGACGCAGTGCCCACTAAACCAAGCCAGCGCCAAGGTAACTACTGCTCGCAGCATCGCCAAGGCCTCTGACCTCGACGCCATCCTAGGGAGCCCACGACGCGATTGGCAACTGCACGGCCTGCCCGTTGGGTTCGTCGCGTACAAAATCGCTCGCGTGCTCAACGAAGTTTTGTAGGATACTTGTCCGAGGGAGGGCAAAGTCCATGTCGTCCGGCTGAGTGTGCCCCGGGGTATTCTCTGCCACCCAACGCCACGCAGTGCCAAGCGTGCCAGCCAGGCACGTTTGGGAAAGGCCTTGCCATGCCGTGCGTGGCAATGACCTGTGCCCCGGGCACCGCGTCGAGCGCATTCGGGGTCTTCCACGACCTTGATTCGTGCCATCCGTGCGCCAATGGTACGCATCGTCTCGTCCCCGACACACGCTCTCACTTTGTATAGGCACATACTCGACGGGCAACGATGCTCAGTGTCTTTTGATTCAGTGTGCCCCGGGCACGACGGGTACTCCACAAACCTTGGCCCGAGCCGTCGTCGAGCCCGTGCCGTAGGTAACTCGGGCGCCAAAGGACTTCAAGACTGCGTCGACTGCCCTGCAGGATACACATCCCTTGGAAACGACACGAGGTTCGCCTTGCGTGTCGAAATGGCTCATCAAACACTGCATTAGCTGCTCGGCGTGTCCGTCGGGCACGTATGCAACGTCGGGGGCCAAGGAGTGTCTCCCGACAACGTGCGACATTGGCTGGGAGCCCAATGCCAAGGCCACTAGTGCCACCGACTGCCGCCCTTGCAACGTCGGCATGACGTCGAGAGGCGGGGGCGCCCACTGCAGCCCCGTACGACGCTCTCTACGCGCTGCTTCTGGACTGAGCCTTGTCGCAGGTGGCGTGCCCGAAGGGAGCGTTTGCGACCGAGAGCTCGGGCGACTGCGAGCCGTGTCCGCTGGGCACGTACTCGGTACGATACGCCATCGACTTTTAAAGTTGATACGAGCTGGTGTAGAACGGCGACTCGATTTGCCGGCCGACACAGTGTCCCCCGGGGCACGGGGCCGTTCCGAATGCCACCGACGCCGTGACAGGTCCGACACAATGCGATCGGTGCTCGCACTTAGACGGTTGTAGACTGCGAAGAGTGTCCTATTGGCACGTTTAGTATTGGTGACGACCACGCGTGCACGCCGACGTCGTGCCCCGTCGGGTCCGAGTCGGCGGTCACCGGCTCCGAGCTCGAGAAGGGTCATTGCAAGCCGTGTGCCGAGGGCTTCTACAGCGCCGGCAACGGCGATCAGTGCAAGCAAGCCGTGTGCCCGCCGGGGATGTATTTCCCCCTCGGAGCCAAGGACTCGCTGGAGAGCTGCACGCTGTGCCCCGCGGGTGCGCCCTCTTCCACACGTGATTGATCGTGACAAACTGGCTGCAGGGCAATTCAGCCCCGGAGCGCAAATGCCATGTGCCAACACAACGTGCGCTCCTGGTACGAACGCTCATGGCGAGTGATGCCTGACGCTTGACGTAGGGTCGGCGTCGCCGATGGGGGCCACCGACGTTCAGGCGCAGTGCGCGCCCTGCCCGCTGGGAACGTTCAGCACGGGCGCGTCGGACCAGTGCCACCCCACGGATTGCGCCCAAGGTTACGAGCCCGTGTCCAGTACGTAGCTGCTCCATCGGTGTATCTAAGCGAGGTGGAATGGTAGCGATGGCAAGCGCCACGACCTGCAAGGCGTGCACCGCAGGATATTACTCCCACGGCGGCGACCAAGTGTGCACGCCCATGACGTGTGCACCGGGGTCCTCGTCGGCAGCGGTGCACGCCACTCATACCAATGCGACGTGCATCAAGTGCCCCCTGGGTACTTTGGCCTTGGCGGCACCCATTCTGTACGCACCCACTGCCTTGTAGCAACGCTTGATGAAACCTCCTAGTGCGAGCCGGCGCAATGTCCGCACGGAGCCGCGTCAGCACACGTCGGTGCGAGCGATCCTGCCTCGACGTGCCGAGCCTGCCCTGCGGGTGCGTTCGGTCGCGGCGGTGTCGACCAGTGCACGCCCACTCAATGCCCACCGGTGCCGATCGTGTGCTTGCGCGCAAGTGTGCTAACGACGGCTCTGGCATTAGGGCACGGCCTCCCCCAGCAACGTGGACCACCCCGTCGACTTTTGCGTCACCTGTGCTCCGGGGTACACACTGCGAACGACACGAAGGGGCCTATTGTGTGGTGTAGAACGTACAGCCCGGGCGGCACACTTCGCTGCACTCCCACGCAATGTGCTCCGGGGTATGCTGCGTCTGCCGGTGCGACAGACCCGCTCGCCAACTGCACGATCTGCGCCCAAGGCAACTTCACCATCGCCCAGACGTGCACGGGCTCGGTGGTGTGCCCCGTGGGCTTTGGCGCGCCCGCCGGTGCATCCAGCGCCCAAGACCAGTGCGTGCTGTGTGACCCGGGGTACTTTAGCCTCGGCCAAGCCGCGCCCTGCGCCGCTGTGACCTGCGCCGCAGGGTATACTCGAAACGCTGTCTCGAAATACGGCAAACCATTTCGTGTAGATCGGGCGCACCGCAAGGCACCGCTACTTGCCAGCCATGTGCACCGGGGTATTACAGCATCGGTGGCACAGGCGCCGATGCTGTGTGCAAGCCTATGACGTGTGCGTCGGGCTATGGCTCGTCGGCCACTGGCGCCACAGACGCCGCAGCCACGTGCACGCTGTGCCCCGCGGGGTATCCCATCATCCTTCTCAACTCGAAACTCAACAATGTGTAGTTCGTTCTCGGCAGGACAATTCCATCAGTGCGTCGCCACCAAGTGCCCACCTGGAACGAGTTCCCCCGAGGTAGCCGCCGTCGGTGCACGAAACCTCATGTGGCTGCGGTAGGGCGCGGATGTGCCCATCCAGCAGTGCACGCTGTGCCCCAGTGGGTCCTTCTCCCGCGGCGGCAACGCTTCGTGCGAGGTTGGCCAGTGCGATATTGGTACATCCAGTGGCCTCTACTTGTATAAACTTTGTTTTGCACGCGTAGGCTTCGCCATGCCCCCGGGGTCGACCCGCGCCGACGACTGCCTCTTGTGTGGTGACGGGTACTACTCGACCGGTCGTGCGACGCAGTGCATTGCCTGCAAGTGCGGCGCCGACTCGACGTGTGTGAACGGTATACTTTCCCGTCGACCTTGCAACCATGCGATCAAGCTCTAGGCTCGTCGGCGTGCGTCGCTTGCCCTGCCGGCTACAAGAAGCAGTCCAGCAACGGTGTCTGCATCGCCGCGTCGGCGCCGACCTACGTAACCTCAATCCATCGAGAGTCTGGTGCTGAGGCCATGCGGCATAGGGCGCGGTTGTGACGCTCCAAGTCGAAGGCTACGCGCCGTCGCTCTGGAGCGATACGCTTGTGGACGCACTCGCTTCGCTCGTGGCCTCGCGCCTCGCCGGTACCCGATACCGTGGACACGACCCTCCTCATTTCGCGACCATATAGATCCAAGCATCGTCGCCGAGCTCTACGCGCGGACGCCAACGGCCGACACCACCAACCCCGTCGGCGCCAGCATCGCGATTCTTCGCTTTGGCGTTGCGACAGCAGACGGAGCGGCCGCGCTGGTCGCGTTCTGGAAAGACCCGTCACGAGTCCAAGCGTTGGCTGCGTCAGCGTCGGTCGCCGGCGGTGGCCTGGAGCGCCTTCGGTACGCGCGTGCCTCAAGATATTCTTGTTTCCATCACAGTGGCGTCTAGATCGCTATCGGTGCAGGCCGTGGACGGTGCGGATGCGACGCCGGCGGTGGCTGCATCGACCGACGCACCGGCCGCCAAGTACGCACTGGCCATCGAGAGCAGTAGCGAGACAACGTCGCCGGCGGTGCACCACCGCTACAACCTGCACGTCGGCCTCGGTGTCGCCGCCCTCAGCGCCTGTACGCTCCTTCTTCTCGTGATGTTTCCCGCGTCTCATGCCTGGTGACTAGTCATCGGGCTCGTGGGTCTGCGCCGAGTCCACCAATGGAACGCGGCGCTCAACACCGACGCTTCGACGACGTCCGCGACCGCCATGGTCTTGTCGGCGTCCGTATAAATTTGCATATTCAATCGATGACTTTTTTCTGCGTGACGGTCCAACGGCACTCGTGCGATAGTTTAATGTACGACAACTTGTGTGCAATTTGAAACGCCTCGCGTCGTCGAGCACTAGATACGAGTGGCCACAAGATCATATATGCCGGACACGTGACCGTAACCTCATGTGCATTCGCAGGCGCGCAAGGCTGTGAAGTGGCGAGGAAGCTACAGCGACTTTTCAACCTTGCACCGTGCTACCGGTATCTTGAAGACGCGTTCGTGCAACTACGGACGGGTAGATTGACGGGCTCATTGACGGGTATAATGACTGGAGCCGATGGACCTCCTTCACGCCAAGAGGCGCGTCGAGGGCGCTGAAAAATTCGCGTCTTTGCCCTCCTCTACCACGGCCTTTCCCATCGGTTAAATAGGTTTTAGTTGACGGTGCTTTTTTCTTGGGTCTCAACGGTCACCTCATTTTATTTTATTACATACACGTTGTAAGTTTTATGATGTACTTTTTTAAAATACAGGTTGTTGATTTCCTTTGTAGTTTAACCCAAGCGGTCTTCCTTGACCTTCGCTCGTTGCAGTTTGTATCTTGTTCGCTCTCGCCGACGCCAACCCATGCACGTCGCCCATCTCCACACCAAGCCGCTGCTGCTGCTGCGCGTCGCGATGGCGCTGGCCTTCATCGCCTGCCTCTGGCGCAACTCGGTGCGCTCAGGCGCCATGCGCGAGGTCGTCGCCGCCCACCGATCGCTGCTCACGCCGGCCAAGACCGCGTTCGCGATCTGGGGCCTCATCTACCTCACGCTCTTCCTCTTTGTGAGCCGCGAGTGCATCTTCCCGTCGCTTTCGCTCACGCCACGCCCACGCGAAGCGCATCTACAGCCTTTTCATCGCATCGTGCGTCTTCAACATGCTCTGGCTGGAGGTGTTTGCGAGCGGAGCGATTGTGTGGTCGCTGCCTGTCATCCTCGTGTTGTGGGCGATCACTGGCGCGCTCTACCTCACGACGGCGTCTCTTGTGCAGCTGCCGACGCTCTTTGATGGCCTGGTGATCTGGCCTCGTCGGACGCCCTACGAGTGCTCGTCGCTCTCGGACTACCTCTGCCTCCGCCTCCCGTTCACGCTCTACTTCAGGTATTCATTCGCATCCGACCACTCATCACAACATATCTGCTGTAGCTGGACGTGCGGTGCGACGCTCATCAACGTGACGGTGTCCCTCCGCGGCCTCGGCTACGACCTCAACCTCGCCGTGTACATGGTGTGCCTGGCCGTGCTCTTGGCGGCACACGTCGCCGCCCTGGCCTTCAATGGTAGTACAGCCACTGCGTTCTCTGCTCACGGAGTCGCGTAGGCGATATCGTCTTTGGTGCTGTGGGTATCTGGACGTTGGCGTGGTACGACACTAAAGATCGACGTCGGTGATGGCTCACGTTTTGCATTGGACAGGCTGGCCGCCAAGCACGAGACAGGCCTCTCGCCGGTCGACGCCGACTACCTTGAGGTCATCCAGCTTGTTGTACGTGCATTGCATTGTGTCGCAAGTTGCTGACGTCGCCCTAGGCGCAAATTGGCACCTGGTTTCTCGTGGCCCTGATCGCGGGCCTTGTTCTTCTGCGCTGCTACGTCCGGTACGTCTGTCTGGTTGTCGAAAGTATCTCTGACGCGGTCGAGTAGACGCTACGGCGCGCCAGAGCACGAGCACATGGATGCGAGCGGTGGCAAAAACGCCAACATTAGCATGTATGGCACCCTATAAGAACCAGAATTCGAGTCTGTCGCCGCGTAACAATCCAGTGGCTAGGCCCGATGACGGCTGTTGACAATCTTCACCTCGTTTCGTATATGTACCTCTTTGGCGCGTCTTCCACTCCGCAGTATAGAAAAACCCACGGACACCGTGTCCTTGCTGTTGACACGACTGTCGTAATGCGCGGATCGATACGCCACGGGTGACGCCGTGGAGTCGACGATGCACTTCACGCGGAACGTTTACGCGAGGTTGCTGCCAAGGAGCGCTGGAGCATGGGCAGCTGGCGTGTGCTCGTGAGCCATGCTTCTGCAGACCCGTTGACATGCCCAGCCAAATTTCATTGACCTGCCAAGTTGCCGTTGTAGCGAAGTTCGAAGATATCGCCAAGCCAATAAAACGGTGTGGCCGCCATGGTGCCCGAATCGCATGTCTCTATTGCCACATGTCGCAGCTATAATCTTCGACACCAGCTTCGATCGTAGATGCCGGGCTCACATTTGGATTTTCCATCGCCAGCACACTCTCTGCTATTAGTATGCGCTCGACGTCGCCCAAGCTCGTCATCTGCGGCCCGCCCGCAGGCGGCAAAGGCACTCAGTGCGAGCTCCTTGTCGCCAAGTTCAACCTTGTGCACCTCTCGACCGGCGACATGCTCCGCGCGGCCATTCAAGCGGGCTCACCGCTCGGCACGGAGGCGCAAGCCTACATGGACGCCGGCGATCTCGTCCCGGACGCGCTCATCATCCAGGTCGTCCTCGCGCGCCTCGAAGAAGACGATTGCAAGCAGCGCGGCTGGCTCCTCGACGGGTTTCCGCGCACGCAGGCGCAGGCCGAAGCCATGCTCGCCCATCGCATCGTGCCCAGCCTCGTGATCCTTCTCGATGTGCCGGACGACGAGGTCATCAGACGCATCTCTGGTCGCCGCGTGGACCTCGCGACGGGCAAGACGTACCACATTACGTTCAACCCGCCGCCGCCGGGCGTTGACGTCGTCCAGCGTTCGGACGATACGGAAAGCACGATCAAGAACCGCCTCGCCAAGTTCCACGACAACTGCGGCGCTGTCGTCGGCGCGTTCGCCTCTGTCGCAGCGCTCTGCAAGGTCGACGGTATGCTCGCGAAGGAAGAAGTCTTTGCGACAATCGAGCGCAGTATGGCGCCGCCGACCTTTTGGGCCACACTGTGGTCCAAACTTCAGTTCTGGAAGGAATAAGATAGCATTTATGACATGGTAGGTTGATAGTTACTTGATACTTTCTTTCTTACGGTGGGGTACATTGGTACCACAAGACGCCAGAGAGATCGCGTGTCGATGCTGATTGGTGGTGCCTCTGCGTGAAAAGCGGTGCGTATCAAGTGCAATGATATCAAGTCCACAGAAAAGCACAGTTCGAGTCGACTGCTTCAGTTTTGTTTTTCACGAGTGACGATGCAAGCTCCACTCGTACTACATAAAAATGATCGATCGAGTCCAAGTGCAGCCGACGACAACGGGTACTCTCCACTCTTCACGACAGCTCCATCAGGTCACACGCCGTCGCGGAGATGCTTCTGAAGAAAAACGCTCCGTCGAATTATACGAGTTGAAAGGACGACAATGCAGTTTGTCGACGCCCTTGCTACTTGTCGTGGCGCCACGTCAGACCCGCCTTCGGAAAAACCGCCACGCGCAACTGCGTCAAAACAAGTCGAACGAATAGCGCAATAATCCTCCCATTGCCCCAAGCGACGAAAAACTTACAAAACTGCATTTGGAAGCACGCAATTTTTAGGTAATCGCTCCATACGCAAGTCAGTCGACTTGTACACGTTTTACACGATTTGCTTCAACCTCACGTTTGGCTGGTTAAAACCGGATAAACGACTCACGCTGGAAGAACCGCCAACTCGTAACCGGCTACGAACCCTGCGTTGAAACCATCTGCTGCGTCCGCTCCGACGTTGAAGACGCGGCGCATCCTGGCCATTGAGCTCCGTGGGCCACAGGAATGCGACGCGCCCTCGCACTAAAAAGTCGTAGTTGGTGCGATCCCGCCTGTCTGAGCCTCGTCTGACCTCCCGTGCTCGTTGGTTGCTCATAGTACACCAGACGACAGCATCTTCATCCTACTCCAGAACTGCGATGTTGGCTGGCATATGAGTGGGTACTGCATTCGAGGATGCATTGTGCAGTGCTGCTATCGTGAACAAGCTTTTGTTGAGGCTGGTACCTCGGACTTGATGCGCTCAACACGAACGATCTGCTTGGAAGCAGAACGATAATGACACGCAACATTTTGATACTCTGCGACGCCGGGGTCGACATCGCGCAAAGCGACTCCTTGTGCCCCATCGCCCCACGCGCGAGATTCTACGTGAATCTCGTGCATCGTAAGGCTACTTGCACGCAACTCCACATCGCCGATCCTGGTCCCGATCCTCGCCCATGCTTGGTCTCGAGTACCCACCTATGCTGCTCTACCTACGTACTGCTACGGAGCTGACAAGGCGCCGACGATACCAGGCATACCTCGAGCAAGTATCATCGCATCTTGCCTCGACTAC